CTGAACCCCAAATTGCTCCCCATGTACTTTGCCATCGCTGTGTGAATGTGTGTGAAAGGGTGAATGTGGCACGTAGTGTTAAAGGAAGACCTATACAAGTACAAGTACAGGTCCATTTACCAAAGTATCAATGTGTTTATTCCATTATATTTCCTTTCATTGAAGCTTTCACTTTCATGACATAAAAATTGCACTGCAGACACGTTGCCTCCTGGCCTGCCTGTGAACCCAGAGTTAAAGTCAGTCTGAGCAAATGTGATTCACATTTTCATTCAGTCGTACATGCACTTTAATCAGGATTTCTTTTTCTCAACACCATAATGAAGCGAATACTGGCCTGAACTATGAGCTGCTTTGTGTTCATTCATCAGAGTCTGCTGGGGCAAATGTGGAATGAACCTCTATTCATTGTTAGTCACAAGATAAATCAGTCATAAAGGATGCTGAACTAAAAATAAGAAAGTCTGATCTTTACATAATGCCTTAGAGTGCCGCTGTTAAATTGCTAATTAGTGACACTGTGTTTAGGGTGCACACAGTAGGGTGACTCAGAATTTGCTCAACCCAATGGCATGACTGTTTTTTTTTTTTTCTTTACAATAAAAAAGTAATTTCTATATCAATGCAGAGGGAAAGAAGAAGTGAACAATACCTAACAAAATCCTATCAGTCCCCATTGTTTGTGCTGGACTCAGTAGCTGGTTGTTAAGATAGCAGAGCTGAACAAATCCCACTGTAAAGGAAAGAAATCCATCTCCTCCCACTTCACATATTATAACAATGTTCTCCCTTGTGTCGTGGCCTTCATCTCCTTGCTTTGATTAAGTGCCTGATTTGTGGTTATCCAAAAATCTACTGAGCAGCTAAAATCCCTCTCAGACACTCAATCACTGTGAGTGAATACAGAGCCCCAATAGGGTCCTGCACTTCATTCTATGTGCGGGGGAGGAAGAGGAGAGAACAGCTAGAGATATACAGCAGAACATGTGTGTTTCTCTGATCACGACTACAGCGGAGCAAAATTCCCAAATACCAACAACGCTCTTTTTCAGGAGTGTGAAGACAGAAAACAACAACAATGTTCAGATTCACATTGATTATGTAGCCCAACACAAGAAAATAGCTGCAAGAATAAACTGCAGAAACGTATCCCACTTATTGACAATCCTACCTCCCTTATTACAGATACTAAAAAAAGAAAGCTGCAGCACAACTAAAAGTATTGGTTTTATTCTGTTCATCCTTGCAGCCCCGACTGGCAAGAAGCGATGGCAATCAATGGTGCCATACCATAATGAAGCCTCAGTGGTCCGTCCTGGTTGCACAGGAGTGTTTGCTCAGACAACTCCCAGGCTACAGCCCCACATACTGCAACTAAGGAGCACAGTGACAGAGAGGGGAAGACAACTACTGTAGTAAATCGACAGAGCGTTAGAAAACTACTCTGACCACAGAGGTACTGTGGGGGTACAGTCATGAGCAGTGATCCTTCACCACAACAGCAGCATTAGCTCTAAAAATAGGCACTCGCTCTCTGAATCAATTCTACACAGTGAGCCTAGACCAAACACAAATAACGCCCTTAGGCTTTGCAAGGGGAAAAGGATTCCCAAATTTGACATTTGTCACCACAGAGGAGTGTCTCTTGCTGTCCTTTCACTAATTTGCTCTCAGGGGAAGTCTGGATACCTCCATCGAACTGGGATTGGCACATCGAGAGTTGCTGCAGGGTGCTAAGCCAAATCTGTCCAAGCTAGTTTAGCAGGCACTGGCTTTCTGCAGCACTCTGTAGGGACTACTGCAGAGATCCTCTCCAGATAAGGATTCCTTTCAAATCTGCCATTAAACACGGGTTTTATATCTTAAAGCAATGAGTCCTTCAAGCGGGGTACACAAAATGACCTATACTCATGAATATTAAGTCACAGATTCATCTCGCTCTAGCTCAGCCTTCTCCTGATTACATCTCTTATTGTTAACTTAAGAAAGATTATCCACGGGCATCAAGCCAGGACAATGTCATTTGTGGCAAGTGGAGATTGTTAGAGCAGTGTATACATGGCTGTAGAGAATGACCACAGTTGTATCATGTGCAATTGTTGGCCAGCTGTCCAATGGAGGCTTAAGTTCCACTTACTGATGGTTTAATTGAACAGCATTAGTGAGGATTCGAGTAACCGAGTGAAAAGGATAGCATCTCTGAGATGGGGGTGGTGAGACAGGAGGGTGTATGCGTGCATGTGTCTGTGTGCGTCAGGGAGTGGGTGAAAGGGCTTAAGAGAGTTAATGGAAAGTGATGTGAGGTCAGACAGATTGACAGTGTTGATTGACAGATGTGGTAATGCATTTCTAGCAGCTTAATGCATCCTGAGGCTGTGTCTAAACATTTCTGTTTCATCACTGTAATGAGGATGTAATTTACTGAAGCAAAACATATATTAGAAAATTGTCGCATATACATTCACTTATCATGAATATTTTGTCATGTTTATGTATTTTTTTGTTATATAAGTCAAATAACTCTACTAATTGC